AGGACCCCCAGGTCCCTGTCCCCTACGCTACGCAGCTCCATCAGCAGGACTGACTTTTCCACCAGGTTTGAGGCTCTTTACCTACGGCCTCACTTCTCTTGATGAAACCCAACCATTATCCTTAACTTAGGGCTCTCAGAGCGAGTAACGTGTCCCACACCGTGGTTCTGCGGCCTCTCAAAGCTGGTTACTTCAACTTCACCTCTGCTACCATCACATACCTGGCACAGGAGGGTGGACAGGTTGTGGTGAGTTGCCCCTTTGTAGAACCCTTGCCCACATCGGACAGCAGATCCACCTGACTGTGCTCTTTGAGCATCGGGGATGATGCACGTCCCCGTGCTCTTGTGCTGCCCAGGCTCTGCTGCGAGAAGGAAAGGTGGCAAATACCTTTTCCTCCCCCTGTACCTTTTTCAGGTTGGTTTCACCAGTGCTCCTGGGCAGGGAGGAATCTTGGCTCAGCGGGAGTTTGACAGGAGGTTCTCCCCTCACTTTGTAAGTACCTTTCCATTGGTAATTGAGAGCGTGCTGCAGGAACGGTGCGACCCAACCCGGTGGATTTTGCCAGTTTGTTGTGTGGTTTGGTTTGCACTACAGTCACCTGGAAAACTCCAGCAGGGATTGCAATTAATCCAGAAGAATTATCACAGAAAAAAGCAAAGAGTTTTCATCCCGGCTGCCTCTATGAAGGAGCTGGCACTGTGGGGTTTGAGCCAGAAGCTTTGAGAGTAGATCTGATGGCTCGAAGACTCATCTGTACATGATTTCATTTAACTTCTTTCCAACAATTTCTCCTTCCAGCTGGACTGGGCAGCTTTTGGTGTGATGACCCTGCCCTCCATCGGGATCCCGCTGCTGCTGTGGTACTCCAGCAAGAGAAAGTACGACACCCCCAAGACCAAAAAGAACTGAGCAAAGTCAAAAGCCGCCAGCACCCCAGAGCTCAGGAAAGAACAAACATTAACCCACGCGGCACAGCAGGCGCGCTGGGATCGCCAACAGTCCCCCTGGGAAGCGCTGCCCGGGCTACGCTTCAGCCCCGTCGGCGAGAGGGAACCGAACGCTTCGACGCAGCGATGGGTCTTCTACGTTTTAAAAAAGAATCAGGCAACCAAGAAGAAACCAACTGAAAATCCCAAACCCCCTTGTCTGCATCTTGGGAGCAGAGACCCCTCGCTCGGCGCAGCCACAGCACCTCTCTGCCGCG